TTATATATATATATATATATATATATATATATAGGATTCACAAAGAACGCTTTTAAGCTAGAATTAAATCAAGTAATTTTATGATGATGCCTCAATAGCCTGGAATCTTAGCTGTGCTAGTTTTTATCCTAAAACTACTGGTATGGGGTTTCCAGTTGTTATGTTGATCTTGAATAGTACAACAGCTGAGGAAGCCCACAAGGAGTTTTTTATTTGTTTTATTGACACCTGGTCACGAAGCAAAGCATGAGATATCTTAGCCATGGATGGTAGGCTCTAGATCATTGTGCTGATTGATTTTATTGCCATGGATGCGATCTTTAACCTTCTATATTTTTTGGATGGGTTTATATTGCTTCTTTCATGGCTAATGTTGACCTAGTATGGGGTAGATAATCTGTGAAGGAAATGTAAGATGGATGGTCAAACCTCACATAGAATGCTGTATGAGTGGATCGATCTCTATTTAGATACAGTATACTGTTTTGTTAGTGTGTTCTCGAGAAACTATTGTCTTTGTCAATTGTGATGAATTATAGTAGTTGTTTGAGAGCTCGTTGCTGTGGTCAGGATATCCAAGAAGAAAAGGTTAAGGTAGTAATGGTAAAAGGGAGACTAGGTTTCTCAGTTTGCCCATGGCTTATCGAAGAACAGAGGATTCATCTGGACAAACTCCACAAACTTAATCTCAGGTTCTGTAAACAAGTGACTTGGAATGGTCACTGGCCCTTTCTTCGTTTTTGGTTCTCTTCCATGTCGCAAAGAAGAATAACCTCTTTTGGTTTGTTTCTGACATTATGGGTACTTGCATTTGAGGGTATAATAGGAGTTAGCAAGGGCATTTAGTCTTTGATGCTCAAGTCCTAGAAGTGAAAGAATGGAGCGCCGGGATTTAAATAGTGTTCATTGAACAATACGGATACAAGGGGCTGTATTGGGGAAACACAATGATGTAATTTAACTTTCTATGGGAATCTATTGTAGTATTGAGTGATGGAAACAATGAATATATGTTAGGGAGTGTTTGGTATGATAGACAAAAATGCACTGGACAAGACAATTGTTTCGTGAAGTTGTTTGGTGCACTTTGACATTACAAAAACCAATTTTTGTGCTGTCTAAGGTTGTTCTAAGGGAGAAATTCTTGTCTCACTGAAAGGATAGAATAAGTTTGTTAAATTCTCAACACAAGAGTTGTTATTTATGAAATGGCTATAATGCCCTAGCCAAAAGGTTGTTTACTCACTCTACTATGCTAAACAAACTCTCTCCTCAAGAATGCTCTCTCTCTCTCTCTCTCTCTCTCTCACACACACACACACACTCAATACGCATGTGAGTAAACTACCTTGACAAGAATTTCTATCCCATTTTTGTGAAGTTGTTTGGTGCACTTTGATACTACAAAAGTCAATTTTTTTCATGTCTAAAGCTTGTTCTAGGGGAAAAATTTTTGTCCCGCTAAAAGGATAGAATAAGCTTGTTAAATTCTCTGTACAAGAGTTGTTATTTATGAAATGGCTATAATGCCCTTGCCAAAAGGTAGTTTAGGCACTCTACTACACTAAATAGACTCTCCTCTCAAGAAAGCTCTCTCTCTCTCTCTCTCTCTCTCTCTCTCACACACACACACACACATTCAATGCACGTGTTTCTTTTTTTCTTGCTTCCGTGTTTGGTTGCTGAGAAAATCAATGCAACAAGAAAATAAAAACTGTAAAACATATGTACCCAATCTCTCCTTGACAACTTTGACAATAACTTTTTGTTAAGTTGTTTGGTGCACTTTGATGGTACAAAAATCAATATTTGTCATGTCTATGTTGTTCTAGGGGAGAAAGTTTTGTCCCACTAAAAAGAATAGAATAAGCTTGTCCAATTCTTTGTTTAAGAGTTGTTATTTATGAAATGACTATAATGCCCTTGCCAAAAGGTAGTTTACTCCCTCTACTACACTAAATAGACTCTCTTCTTGAGAAAGCTCTCTCTCTGTGTCTCGCGCATGCGTGCACAATGCGCGTGTGAGTAAACTACCTTGACAAAAATTTCTATCCTTTTGTTGTGAAGTTGTTTGGCATTTTGATAGGACAAAAATCAATTTTTGTCCTGTCTAAGGTTGTTTTAGGAGAGAAATTTTTGTCCCACCAAAAGATATAGAATAATAAACTACCTTGACGAAAATTTCTATCCTTTGATGGTACAAAAATCAATTTTTTTCTTGTCTAAGGTTGTTTTAGGGGAGAAATTTTTGTTCCAGTAAAAAGAATAGAATAAGCTTGTCCAATTCTCCATACAAGAGTTGTTATCTATGAAATGATAACTTCAACAATAACTTCCATGCCTTTATGAGCGTGGGACCACTTGTTTTCACTAGTTAAAGTATGCTTAGAATCCCTTACATATTGATAAGATATTGGAGAATAGTTGGATCCTTCTATTTCAACCGGGGAACTGTTGACACTGTCACCTTCCAAATGGTGCTCCCTCCTGTCCAGGAAGTGCTCAAAATCCGCGTCCGCTTCACCACAATCAACTATACTGCCATTAACATTTCCCTTAACTTCTGAAACATCAAAATCATCAGCAAACTCAAGCTCCTCATGATCATCAAGCAGAAATGGTGTCAAATCACTGTGAACAACAAATTCTGAAACATCATCAATGGCTTCAACATCATGTGCTGTGTGCTCATCTTCGTGGGCAGCAGGATGCTCTTCAAATTATTAGGATCATAGTAGAAGCTTAGGTTTAAGTTTGATTTTCTTGTTTGGTTGCTGAGAAATGTTGTCAAATCACTGTGAATGACAAATTCTGAAACATCATCAATGGCTTCAACATCATGTGCTATGTGCTCATCTTCGTGGGCAGCAGGATGCTCTTCAAATTATTAGGATCATAGTAGAAGCTTAGGTTTAAGTTTGATTTTCTTGTTTGCTTGCTGAGAAAGTTCAGCAAGGAAAGAAAGGAAAGGAAAATTGTTGAATGTTTGTGTTTTTGTTTGTCTTTCATGCTACTTATTAAATAAATAAATGCTGAAATATGGGATCTTTGGTCGAAAACAACAGCATGTTTATGTATGCTTTGATAGTTAATATATATATATATATATATATATATATAT